TGAAGTTTGATAAACTACAAGGGTTTTCCAGGATTGGGTGGTGCACTTATCCACAAAGGGAACATTGGGCTGATAAGAGCTGCAGGTGAAGGAAACCACCAGAGAACTGCATTTAGAGTTCTTCACACTGTCTTGTGTGAAATTCTCAGAGGGGAGGCACCTTTTCCTGCCTCTGCTGGCTCTTCTTAGCTGCTTCTCTTCTCCCACGGATAAAAGAGCACCAGGGCTTTCTGTTTCCACTTTGTGAACTAGTGTGGGTAGAGTGGGATGGTTCTTAAAGTCTAACTTTGTGCAAATGTTAATTTCCTCCGCCCCCCCCCCCTTATGTCCCGCCACGGACATAAGAGTTCATATAGACACAAATGGACATCGCTCAGGTAATTTTATTATCAATATAAACCCCTATCTTTGTCTATGTGTAAAAATCATATTTACTTCCAAACTATTATAAAATGTCAATGGTGAGTCAGTATGGTATAGTATTAAGAGCAGGGGTTCTTGGTAAGAGGCAAACTGGTTTGAATCTTGGCCTCTCTTCTACTAACTGCATGATCTTGAGCAAGTTACTTTAATTTTATAAATCTCAGTTCTCCCATTTGTAAAATGGAAATAATCAAAACACCTACCGTGTTTCCACGAAAATCAGACATCCTCCGAAAATAAAACCTAGCACATGGAAAGATAAGACATCCCCTGAAAATAAGACCTAGCGCAACCTTGGGAGAAAAAATTAATATAAGACACTGTCTTATTTTCAGGGAAACAGGGTATCATAGGATTGTTGTGAAGACTAATTGAGGGGGTTGAGGACAAATATGTGATACCTTAATCAATAAAGAAATTTTAAAAAACCCAAAACAAACAAACAAACAAAAAAAGACTAAATGAAATAATGCATCTTACCTAATAAAAGACTAATATGCAAATTAACCATCACTCCGCTACACCCACAAGCCACACCCACCAGCCAATCAGAGTGAGTATGCAAATAAACTCGACCAAGATGGATATAGCCACAGAGAGATGGAGGGAGGCCAAGCTTCCCACCTGCCCTTGCCAGCCTAAGCCTCCACTCAAGGGTACAAAGTTTCAATATGGAAGGTAAACAAATCCAAACAGAAATGGCTGCTGGCCACTGAGTGAGCAGAAATGGCTGCTGGCCACTGAGTGGCTCTGCTCCAGGCTACAAAGTTTCAATTGTAGAAGGTAAATAGATTCCAGATACCAGGGCCTCTGCTTGGGTCACCAGGGGGCATGACTGGCCTTCAAACCACCACAGGTCCCTTGCTCAGGCCACCCCATGCCCCAAGGGAACCCCTACCCTGATCCAGGACACCCTTTAGGGCAAACCAGCTGGCAGTTAGGGGTGACCAGGCCAACAGAGGAGGGAAGTTGAGGGCAAACAGGCTGGCAGGGGAGCAGTTAAGACATCAATCAGGCTTGCATGGGAGTGGCAGGCAGAAGCAGTTAGAGGCAATCAGGAAGGCAGGCAGGAGAGCAGTTGGGAGCCAGCAGTCCTGAATTGTGAAAGGGCACTCGGACATCCCTAGCGGAGTCCCAGATTAGAGAGAGTGCAGGCTGGGCTGAGGGATGTTCGTCCCTCCCCCCCACCCTACCCCCTGGCCCCAGGCCTTTAGTGTAAAATAATTAGCCCAGTATCTGGCACATTGTTGTTCAATAAGTTTCATAGGTGCTCAAAATTGGTAGCTGTTATTGTTAACATTATTATATTAAACTCTAAACATCTGATTGGTAGATTAAACAGGTATAGTCCTTTATTTTTCTTTCTTTCTCTCCCCCTCTCTTAAAAAAAAAACACTTTGTTTTCCAGAAAATTTCTTCTGTCTTTCTAGGAGGATAAAAGTACTTTGATTCAAACATTCCTTCGTTAAAGGGCTTTCACACTTACTTGTGTCTGTGGAACTAGGGAGAAGTAGCATGATTTGCTTCTAAGTATGGCAGAGCACTTTCATTTCTACCATTTAAAAAACTCCTGTACTCGCCTTAGGTAGATCTAAGTCATAGAAGCCCATAAAGACAAAGGAAGAAATATTTTTGTAGGGTCAGGATAAATGGGTGGAAGAAGGGAAGGAGAATACAAAAGTGAAAATATAGCTGGTTTTAATGTTAGCGTGGCTATTTCTTCTCTCAATTTAATATGTACTTAATTATAAAACAATTAATACCAGAAATTGGCATGTATTATCTCACAGCTTCCTTCAGCTTTGCCATTTCTTAGAGAAGTAGTTTTCCACTTGGAAACTGTTGATAAAGCACTAATTTGGCTTCCCATCTTTTGGGGGTGAAGAACCTTTGCAATGATTGATGGTTGTTAGTTGTGGGAAGCACTCAAATGAACAGAATAACAAACAGAATGCAAACATGTTCATGTAGACTTTAGGCTGGTGCACACGAGCCCTAGGTCACCGTTGTTAAATGAAGACTCTCAGAGGTGAAGGAAACCTCTGGGATAGATAAACTTGTTTGCTTCATAAGTGTCAGCATTGTAGGAATTGTTTTGTGAAATACTCATTTTTAGGTAATTTATCTATATGTTCTTGAAGGATAAAACTACGAAAGAGGCAGATGTCCATCTTGGCAGCAACTTTGTGGAATTGTGTTTTGTCAGGATATATTTATCACTTTGGGGTTTTTCATTCTCACTATTCCAAAAGAAAGTTGTGATTAAAATAAAAGTGTTTTGGGCCGAAACCAGTTTGGCTCAGTGGATAGAGCATCGGCCTGCAAACTGAAAGGTCCCGGGTTCGATTTTGTTCAAGGGCATGTACCTTGGTTGCAGGCACATCCCCGGTTGGGGGTGTGCAGGAGGCAGCTGATCGATAACTCTCTCTCATTGATGTTTCTAACTCTCTATCCCTCTCTCTTCCTCTCTCTGTAAAAAATCAATAAAAATATATTTAAAAAAATAAAATAAAATAAAAGTGTTTTGGGATGGTAAGTGGAAAACCCTGAACTGGAAGTTTTATTTGAAGTGTGCCTTCGATACCATTGTCATATTTCTAACGTTACAATTCAGGGGGAGGAACAGTCAGTTGTTGAGCACCAGCTATATCCGAAGCTCTGGCCTTTGTTGTTTACTGAAGTAGACACTCAATAGCCCTTTGAGATGGGCTTTTAAGAATATACATTATATAGCAAGCCAAGAACTCTGGTGTTTTACATGCATTACCTTATTTAATTCTTATAATCCTATGGTGTGTGGGTACTAATAACATTGTCGTTACTAACAGTTATAGTATTATTATCCATTTTTTACATGAGGAAATAGGCTTGGAGAGTAATTTTCTCAATGTCATACAGCTAGGAATTGGTAAGGTCAAAAATGAAACTCAGGGGTCTCTAAACTCCAAAGGCTATGTATTTAAACAGTGATTCTTAAAAAAAAAAAAAAAATATATATATATATATATATATATATATATATATATATTTATTGATTTCAGAGAGGAAGGGAAAGGGAGAGAGAGATAGAAATATCAGTGATGAGGGAGAATCTTTGATCAGCTGCTTCCTGCACACCCCACACTAGGAGCCTGCAACCCAGGCATGTGACCTGACTAAGAATCTAACTGTGACCTTCTGGTTCATAGTCGATGCTCAACCACTGACCCACACTGGCTGGGCCTAACCAGTGATTCTTAAACTTCACCATATATAAGAAGCATCATGGGTACTTCTTAAAAATTACTGGGCTTCAGTTAGAAATTTAAGGTCACTAAGTCTGGGATGGTACAGTTTATAAATCTGCATTTAACAGGGTATCTCAGATGTTCCAGATCAACAAGTTGATTGACCATATTTGGAGAAAAAGTTAAATTTCTTTCCACATAGGTGCAGATTAAATAACTAAAATTAATCTACCAAAGACAGAGCCATGAATCAAAACACATTTTTTTCTCATTTTAATACTCAGACCCTTTCTAAGAAGCCCATGATTAATAGTCACGATAAATGCAGAAAAATAACTTCTGATAAATTGAGCCACACAGATTTCATTTATTATCTTCCAAGGTTAATAGTTTATAACACTAGTTTTCATGATCCTTAAACTTTTCTAATTTTTTATTAAAGAATTGGGGTAGATAGATCAACCGAAGGACTTGTATACATGCATATAAATACAACCAACGGACACAAAACTCTGGGGAGGGAGAGTATGAATGGGAGGGGCCAATGGTATATGTACAAAGATAATAATTTAATTAAAAAAATTTAAAAGAAAGAATTGAGTTTTTTTTGTTTTGTTTTTGCCTTAGCTAGTTTTGCTCATTGGCTAGAGCATCGGTCTGTGGATAAGAGGGTCCTGGGTCTAGGGCAAGTACCTCGGCTACAGGCTTCTCCCCCTCCTGGGTCCTGGTCAGGGCGTGTGCAGAAGGCAACCAATTGATTTGTTTCTCTCACATGGATATTTTTCTGTCTTTCTCTCTCTTCCACTCTCTCTAAAAATCATTGGAAAAATATCGTCAGGTGAGGAGAAAAGAAAAGACAAAAGAAAAGAAATGGAGTTTTCTTTGCAATCAGAAGAGAAGAGAAAAGACAAAAGGAAAGAAATGAAAAGAGTTTTCTTTGCAATCAGATCATTTATGCTTTAGGCACTCTTCCCTGGAATAAGTTTTGAATCATATAGAAAATGAAAGCGGGTGGAAGGAAATGGGAAGAAAAGAACATCCAGATATATCTGCTTAATGGGTGCTAAAGCTCCTCTATAGTTCTCCCTCATCACTGAAATGAAGTATTGATGCTAATACTAACAGCCAACCAGATGGCAGTAAGCCATGTGCTACATCATGTACATTCCTACCCTTTGGGACCATAGGTCCGTTAGGGCCAGCAAGTTTGGTTGGCCTATTTCAGTCCATTTACTAGGGTAGAGGCAATACCTTGACTGACTTTCATAGCCTCCAATTGAAATTGGGAGGGCTTTTATTTTTTTACTTTTCTCTCTCACTTTTCTCTCTCTCTCTCTCTTTTCTTGGCAGCTCAGCGACATGTCCTCACGTACATGGAGGATGCAGTGTGCCAGCTGCTAGAAAATAAGGAAGATGTTAGCCAGTATGGTATTGCCAGGTTCTTCACTGAATAGTAAGTATGTGAATGCTTTGCTAATAGAGAGCCCAGAGAAGGCACTTGGAAGCAGGCAAGGTACATAAAGAATAGAGCAGGACAAGGCTGATTATGAGGTGCAGTGAATACTTAGTTTTGGTAGGCTGGTCCAAGGTGGCCCAGATATGTTTTGGAGCATGTCCTTGGAGCAACTAGTTTTGTCCAGTGATAAGTTTCATGATGGCCATGATTACACTGCTTGTTTGATTTATTAGATCTGTTTCTTTAGATTTCTCTTATAATTTTTAACCTTCTAGTAATTCAAAATATTCATTCTGATTTCCTTTAGTAAGTGTACCTTTAGCCTGTGTTTTTCATGGCTAGTTTTAAAAAATATATATATTTTATTGATTTTTTACAGAGAGGAAGGGAGAGGGATAGAGAGTTAGAAACATTGATGAGAGAGAATCATTGATCAGCTGCCTCCTGTACACCCCCACTGGGTATGTGCCCGCAACCAAGGTACATGCCCTTGACCGGAATAGAACCTGAGAGCTTTCAGTCTGCAGGCTGATGCTCTATCCACTGAGCCAAACCGGTTTCGGCTCATCGCTAGTTTTTTCATTTAAATGTTTAGGATGATGTTTCCTTGCAGTTTTCTTTCTGTAGGATGCTGTTTCAATCACATAATGATTTAAGAATTTCTAAAGGCAGGACCTCATAGATTATATCTTTGGAGGGTTATACTTCTTTGTATAGTGTGCTTGTAATGTGTAAAAGTCAAAATGATTGCTTTTTTTTTTTTTTTTTAACATCCCTAATGTTTTTTGGCTGAATCAGATAATCACTTTAAAACTCTTTGGTCATCATGACAGGATTTGCTAAAGGAATACAAAGCATTATTTTTATTACTGATACGACATTATATATTTACTAGAGATTCAATGCATGAAATTCATGCAAGAGTAGGCCTTCCTTCCCCCTGCTGCTGGCATCGGCTTCTCTTTGGCATCTGCGACCCAGGCTTCCCTCCAGTCGCCAACAGGCACCTGGGACCTGGGCTTCTCTTGCAGCCCTGGCTTCATCTACAAGGTCATCCAAAAGAACATCTGGTCTAATTAGCTTATTATGCTTTTATTTTATTTTTATTTTTTTAAAATATATTTTATTGATTTTGTACAGAGAGAAAGGGAGAGAGATAGAGAGCCAGAAACATGGATGAGAGAGAGTCATTGATCAGTTGCCTCTTGCACACCCGCTACTGGGGATGTGCCCGCAACCAAGGTACATGCCCTTGACCGGAATCGAACCCAGGTTCCCTTAGTCCCCAAGCCGACACTCTATCCATTGAGCCAAACCGGTCACGGCTTATTATGCTTTTATTATTACAGATATAATCATTTGCAGTCTCTTTCCTTTTGTTCTAATTTTTTTGGGGGGGAGCATTCTAAGAATGGTAGAATCAACTCTTACAGGTTTCTATTTAACATGAATCATAAACTGCTCCTGGAAAACATATTTCTTTCTTTCTTTTCTCCAGAGGTTCCTTGGAGATCAGACAACTATTCTAAGGGGTTGTTGTTAGGCAAACTCTTTTTTCAAAAAACCTTACCTGAGAAGTAGCTTGGAAAGGAAGTGGGGAGAGGGGAAGAGAGAGAGAAAGAGAGAGAAATCGGTGGCCTTATGTATGTGCCCTGACCAGGGATTGAACCAGCAACCCTGCAGTACACAGGACGATGCACAATAAGCTGTGCCACTCCAGACAGACTAGGGGAATTCTTGACTCTCCCAAACTCTTTTGCTGAGCAACAGGTCTCACAAGTAAAATCTAGATTCCTTATGGATTGGAATTTCGTTTCTGGAAAAAACGGGCTTTCCAGGAGCAGATAGATCCAGTCCCTTTCCCAGTCTTCTAAGGAGGTAAAATAAAGGAATCTCAGTTGTTCTCATGATGTGGTAAGCAAACAAGGTGGGCAGGGAATAAAGACTTAGATTTAATAGTCTTGCTTGCTTTTACAGAAACTGACAAGCCTAGGAGTTAAGTTTCTAGGCCATTTAATCTGTACCTGCACCCTTGAGGCTCCCTGACAAGTGAAATGTGATTCTTCTGGGGCAATGCTTCTCTCCCTCCCATTTTTTTATTTTTTTAAATATATTTTATTGATTTTACACAGAAAGGAATTGAGAGGGATAGAGAGTTAGAAATGTCGATGGGAGAGAAACATTGACCAGCTGCCTGTTGCACACCCCCCACTGGGGATGTGCCCGCAACCAAGGTACATGCCCTTGATCGGAATCAAACCCGGCATCTTTCAGTCCGCAGGCCGAGGCCCTATCCACTGAGCCAAACCAGTTTGGGTCATTTTTTTTTTTTTAATTTACTCCCCCACCCTCACCTCCTTTATAAGTCTTTGCCCTATTATACCTGTTCCTTGAGGCATCATTTCTTCTTCATCTTTTTATTCCTTGGGCCTGTCACAATGCTTAGCAACTAATAGATATTGGTACATGTTGAATCAACAGCTATATCTATATTTTGTTTTTGCATATTATACGCTTATTCTTGATCTTGTTAAAACTAAAGAATATCTCTTGTTTTTCTTTTTTTTTGTTGATTCTTTTTTCTTTTTCTTTTTCTTTTTTAATATATTCTGTTGATTTTTTACAGAGAAGAAAGGAGAGGGATAGAGAGTTAGAAACATCAATGAGAGAAAGACATCGATCAGCTGCCTCCTGCACACCTCCCAATGGAGATGTGCCCGCAACCACGATATATGCCCCTGACTGGAATCGAACCTGGGACCCCTCAGTCCACAGGCTGATGCTCTATCCACTGAGCCAAACCAGTCTCGGCTCTTTTTATTATTTAAAAAAAATATGTTTTTTATGATTTCAGAGAGGAAGGGAGAAAGAGAGAGAGAGAAACATCAATGATGAGAGAGAATCATTGATCAGCTGCCTCCTGCACATTTCATACTGGGGACCGAATCTGCAACCTGGGCATATGCCCTGACTGGGAATCGAATAGCAATTTCCTGGTCCATAGATCGATGTAAGTCATGCCAGCTGGACTGTTGATTCTTTTTTTATAAAGCTCTATATTTGTCATTTAAGAATCTGTCTACCATATATATATATCACTCAAAAGTGAACCCTACTGGTCTGTGTAACTGATACTGTACTCTAGTGAGTCAGTGGTAACACGTATAATATAACCTTCAGAATGCTATTGATTGTAGCTTTTATCTACCAATACACTGTGAAACACTCAAGATTTTCCACAACTCGATAGAAATCTAGTTTTCAAGTGATCTGTTTTTTCTTCAGGAAAGTAAAACTACATAATGTATGTGAATGGCACATACCTGAGACTTCTATAACTCTGAGATACCATATTGACTTGAGGCAAGTTATTTTGGAAAGTGAACAAGTATCAAAGCTCCCAAATCCTTAAAAAAACACACAAACAAATACCACAAAACTTGAAAGATGTGATAGCCTGCTGAAATAGGAATTAGTATTTTGTGGATAAGACTTGAATCAGTAGAGCCTATTGATTTTGCTTTGATTTGTGCGTTTTGTTAGTGAAAAGCCTTTTTTTTTAAGCCTCTTGATTATATTGATTCATAGAAACATGATGAAGAGAAAAGAACACTGCCTTAAGAAGCAGAGATCCTTATTCTTATAAGTCCTCGCTTTATAATCTTGGTCAAATTTCTGAAATATTCTGAGCTTCAGTTACCTCATCTATGAAATGGATATAATAAAGTCTTACATGCCAATAATAATATAGTAATTATATTTTATAATAAAGATTTTTTATTAAATTCATGCGTCTCAGCCACTGTAATTCTTTGGACTATTATAATCTCTATTTTATAGATGAGGAAACAGACTCAGGAAGGTTAAAATAGCTTTTTTACGTTCACAAGTGAGTAAGAAGCAGAGTTAGGAATCAAGTCCTGTTAGTGGTATTATAAAAGGAGTATTCTCAACTGTCTCCCCGTCACTATACTGCCTAATCTTGCTGGAAGCCTAAACAGATAATATTTTGAGGTCTCTTCTAGCTATACTTTCTAAATTATTTTAGTTTTCCTGCATGAACTATTACATAGTCTTATCTGGTGACTTCAGTTCGTTGCCACTTTAATATTTAGTATTGGGGGATACAACTGGAGCTGGTTCTAAATAATAGGGAAACACTTTTAAAAATATATTAACCGAACACTTCCATCTCTCATTTTCAAGTTCACACATTGAGATTTTCATACTCTTTTTTGTTTTGTTTTGTTTTGTTAATCCTCACCTGAGGATATTTTTCCATTGATTTTTAGGGAGAATGAAAGAGAGAGGGAAAGACAGAGAGAAATACGGATGTGAGAGAAATACACATTTATTGGTTGCTTTCTACACAAGCCCTCACCTGGGCCTGCGCTAGGGAGGAGCCTGCCAAGGTACATGTTCTTGATGGGAATTGAACCTGGAACCCTTTAGTTAGCAGGCTAACCTTTAATCCACTAAACCAAACTGGCTAGGGCAATACTTTTTTTTTTTTTTTTTTTTTTTAATCCTCACCCGAGGATGTGTTGTTTTTTCTTGTTTTTTTTTTTTTTTTTTTTTTTTTTTTTAATTGATTGGGGTGGAGGCGGGGGAAGGGGGTTGGGAGAGAGAGAGAGAAACATTGATCGTTTGCCTCCCATATGCACTTCAGACCTGCAAGCTGGGTATGTACCCTCACTGGGAATCAAACCCAAGACCCTTTGGTACATGGAATTATGCTCCCACCACCTGAACCATATCAACTGTGGAAAGATTTTTATATATTTATGATCTTAATGATGGATGATTTACCTTTAAACAATGATAGAAGTGCTCTTGTTTGTGGCAGGCTTTTCTGTTGATGGTCTCTTCTGGGTCTGCTTGCCCTCTCACCTGTGCTGTCACTCCTTGGCTGTTAGTGTTTTCCAACAAAACTACGATTGTTCCAGCAAATCTGGATAAGCTGTAAAACATGAGTAGCTAAGCTGTACTATGCATGT